CACTTTCATTGAAAAGGGGGTAAACAGATTTTCATGAAAATTCAGTTAAGTAAATGTCACTGGGCTAAATTTCCTAGAGGACCTCAATCCAGCTTCAAAAGGCTTTTTTTAATTTATTTTTTTAACATACAAATCCTTTATCTGCAAGAGCAAATGGAAATCGAGTGTATAAAATGGGTAGCAAGACATTTAGTTACTTGATTTGAATCTACAAATTTGGGCGGTTGAACTGTTAATTCATTACATATACAAAATTGTGGATAAATATTTCTCCAAATTTAGTACCAAACCCATTAATGTTTTTACATTGATATGTGTATTCCCTTTTCTTTCAATTCTTAAGAAGAATGTTTATTTATATCTGGTACTCTTAAAAAGTGAAGGACTAGGAGAACTGCCTAGAGGCAGACATCATTTGCATTTTTCCACATATAGCTCTGCTAGTGCATATCAGCTTTGACCTGCACAACCCCCGTTTCTATATTAAAAAGCACTATAGTATCCTACAATAGCTTCAAATGTTAGAGTAAACATAAATAGCCTCAAATGCTGCTACAGTAACGCTAAAACTGCAGCGTTTGGGGCACTTACTGTAGAACAATGTACTTTTGTTTGTTTTAATTAGAGTTATTCTAATTCTGTCTCTCTCTAGACCCGAGAATGCTATAGTAATTGCATCAGATTGTGTGGGTTCAAAAGGATTTATGATGTGAAGGACTACCCTCTAAGGACTAGGATGAGATCATCCATTTATTTTTACTTGTGACCTACTGTAAGTCAGGATTGCATCCAGGTTGTTAAAAGTGCATTAACCCACTACAGTACATAATTTCCCAGTTCTTCTGAAGCTCCATTTTGAGACATGAACACCATTTTAAACTTGACCAAAGAACTCTCATAAATTGATTTGTACTATCACCTGAAATTGTAACTGAGGAAAATATAAGATATGGAAAAAAAAACTTTTTTTAGTTAAAAGATGAAACACTGCTATAAATGCCTCATGCCTTTTCAGTGTTGTAAACGCTATAAAATATCTAGAGCACTATCAGGCTGTCTTTATATTTTATATGTATCTGTCCAAGATCATTTAGACTGACAAAAATTCTGTTTTAAATCATCATCATGATAAACTGTACTTTTTTCCTCTTTTTTTTTCTTTTTTGGTGTAAATGGAGGGCAATTGTTCTTCACTTCTCACCTGTCAGGTTTACTGCTCCATTTTAATGCGGCAAAGAGGGGAAAAAAGGTTAAATGTTAGTTGGCCAATGGCAAGAAGAGTAACCATGACAACAGGAGATTCAAGAAATGGTGTTTTACAATGAGGACACAGAACTTACATAAATTACAAAATGACAGCTCATCAAAACATTTAATGCCTTCTAATCATGGAATAAATGGAGGACACAAGGTTAAGTTCAAAGAGTCTTTTGCTGCTGAAGAAAATATTTTTGTATTAATATCACATTCCCTTTTGGTCATCACCTACAAAATAATGCCACAATCAATTACATCCCAGGAGGTTGCAGATGCTGGATATATTTTTGAATTTTACGTACAAGCTGGAGAAAAGACTTTCATCTAACCTAGGTACAGGGAAGTTTAGTGTAACACATTTTTTTCATTAAAAAAAGGCTAAATAGATGAGATATTCCTATAGAGTAACTAAGACTTGCACTAAATTACAAAAGATTTTTATCCGGTTTTACGCAACTAGGTAATAAAATGTCAGAAATTATTTTTAAAAGGTCTCTTGACAACTAAGGTAATCCTAAATCTTTCCCCAATAAAATATTAAATACTCTTTTTTGCTTTAAAAGAAATAGCTCATCTTAGATCTATAGTGCTGGACCTATAAAAATGGGTGGAACTGAAAAAAGACTTTATTACTTGCTATCAACAGGTCACATAACTGAAACTATTCCCAAATACCAAAAAACACAGTGTATCATCATGATAATGTGGGGAGCTACAAAGATTTTATTGCTTGGAAGCTGCATTGACCCTATTACTTACAATGGGTACTAAAATCTTTATAGTGCCCTGCAACATCACAGATCTTTTTCTTTTTTTAGAGTCTCTCCATTGTTTCCTTAGAATCATGTTAGTTACTATGGCGCAAATCCAGAGCTCCTTGCTAAGTTTTTATTCAGTCCTTACTTGTTCTGGCAAAACTCCACTGGGCTCAAAAGGATTTAAGATAACATTCCAAGCCTCTGAGCAGATTCACACAGCTGCCATTTAAACAAAAATCAACCTGCTAAAGAAATGTTTCTTTCTGTCTCCTAAACATGGAATGTCTTCCAGAAACAGCACTGATTAAAGTGAGTTCCAGGATAAGCAACATCCAGCCTGGCATCCATGGTGGGTTTAAAGTTAGGTATCTCGTGAGCTTTCAGAAACACAGAAAACAGACATAGGAATTTAACACCAGTGAAAGTTGATATTTCAGCGAGATACATAATTTCTTTCTAGCCCTGGCAAATCCTGGGATGTTGGATAGTTTTTAGAGATTTCTAACATTTATTAATTAACATTTTCCTCTCCCTCCAAGACATGTGCTGTTAAATTCATATGGCCAAATTTACAAGAGAATCTAAGGGCTAACTTGTAGCTTTAACAAGTGCCCTGCATGTGAGGCAGCATGTTGTTGCACTGCCCTAACAACACCCTGGGTGATAAGCTGTGACTCTCAGAGTCGCAGTCTGCCCATCAGTTATCCTCCTGTTCTGGGGGAGACGTACTTTGTACCAGCCCTACACCTGATGCAATGTTTCTCCTCTGGTGCTCTGGCAGAGCTATGCTGCTTGGTGCATTGCTGGAGGCAAAGCCAAGACTCTATCCATTCTCTGTCCACCTGCACAGGATTGGGAGTGTGAAGGATGCTTCCCCTTCCTCACTTACGTGGGTAGCTAACTCACTGAGGTAAGGGGGTGCCTTATGCTCCTGTACTGCCCTGTGTTGTTGCACAAGATGGGCTGTGGTATGGCTATGAATGAGTATAAGGAGAGTTTAAAGTTGTATAATTACCCCTTCCACCCATACATGTATGTTTCATCAATTTAGTTTCTCCCAGATTCCCCTACATTAATTGCTGAAATTCACACTGAATTTAACAATGAATTTAACAATTGGCGGGGTGTGTGTGTGTGTGTGTGTGTGTGTGTGTGTGAGTGAGTGAGTGAGTGACCAAAAGGGGCTTAATGGACACAAAATATAGCTAATGGCGAATAAGAGAATCTAAGATGATGCAACACACACAGAGGCCAATTAAAATAGACTAGTATGATTTTTATCTTCATGTTGTCATGTTAATTAAATATATAGAATTCTTTGGAAATTTTGGATACAGTTCTGATTTTCTCTGAGTATATATTACTAGCTTTTGTGTGAATCAACAAAAAAAAAAAACAGTTTTCTTGAGGGCAAGAGTATAGCAAGAAAAGCAAGGGAAAAAAAGAGTTTTGTCCAGTTAATTCACTTAGACTACCAAATCCTAAAGATGGGAACGTCTGTTCGGAATGTTTAAGGAACCTTTCTCAGTATGATTCTCTCCTTTCATTAAGGGTGTGGAGTGAGTACCACTACTTATCACATCATAATTCAGTTGGGTTTACAACCAATTTAGGACAAAAAACTCTTACTTCTATACTGAGTACCTCAATCAGTCTTAATCATGAAGGATCTCAGAATGCAACTATGTTCAGTGACAGAGGGTGTGGTCCAATATTTTTCCCATTCATTTTTAGAAGTACTAATCCTCTTGATTTAGATTGGATGACATTTGGCCTGCACTCTCACGGCTGAAGAAGAAAGCCTAAAATCTCTCAGATTTGGCATCTCTCAGCCTCACATCCTTTCAGCATGCCACTTATGACAAACACTGTCCCATTCCTCTTTATGTTATATGAGGCCCATCTCAGTGGCTTTGGTTCAATCTGGAAAGCTATTTGCAACAGCCTCACAAATAACAAAGGTATTAGACACATACGCCTTGCCTTTGAAGGTAGTAAAAGCTTTGCATTGACCCAGGCCACTTTTCTACACTACCCAGGCCTCTTCCAACTGAGGGCTAGGGCTCATCGCTTTAAACGTCTTTTTATAAATCAGTCACCACTGCCCCTACATCATATTAAAATTTAATAACAGTAATGTTGAAATTAGCAGTCCATGTCTGTTCATAAAACTGTCTCTGATCAAAAATCCTAGAAAAGAGGTAAGACTCACCCCTGTTTAAGATACCTCCTTGGTTCCTTTCCTTCAACAGACATGGTGCCTATACCACCACACTCCCCCCCCCCCCAATACTGCTTCCCTATTTGCCATAATCATTTTTGGTTTGCTACTTTTTTACTGAGTAATATGAATTTTTATTATTTCAGACTTCTGAGACAGTTCTACTCCCTGTTCCAGGGTTAGCTCAGACATTAACTGTGTTTTTTTCTGAAAGTTCCTTAACATCCCAACTACTAAATGATATCTTATATGTTCTTCCTTACAGATAACAAAGTCACTGGGCGCTTTTTGTTCATCAATGTATTTAGAAATTCTTCCATGTTTTGAATAGGTTCAAAGCACCTTATAAAAGCATACCCATGCCTGTATTCCTTTTTTTTTTAATACATCCAATATATCCACACAAATGTCATATCCTAATTTAATTTACCTCTTGATCTAGCTCAAACCCAGTTTATATTACTTTATATGTCTGTAAATGGTTGTAAATGTAACATACACAATCCTTATTCACTACCTCTGAATTTAGCCCAGGGCTACAAAGCCGGACAACCTGTTTTAACAAGCAAAGGGATATGGAACAAAACACCAATAAAAATGTTTTAAAACTCTTAACACATTTCTAAAATGTTTTTTGGGAAAAACTGTCGAAAATGCCGAGAATATATGTTGGTTTGACATAAAGGAGTTTGATTGGCATCTGTTTGGGATAACCTACCTAACTTTGTCTCTGGTGAGCTGGCAGCTACTCATGCCAAAAAATGGATCCAGTCCCTTTCAGTGAAGCAAGGGATGTGAGCATTTTGTGTCCATTAAGCCCCCTTTGGTCACACTCCCCCCCACTCAATTGGGACCCGCAACCTGCGTTCTGCCTGTTCATCTGGATAAGCATTTATACATTACTCTACCAAAAAACATCTGAAGCATCAGTGTCTGCAAGCAGAATCCCACAAGTGAATGAAGCTCCTACTTTGTTAACTGTGAGCATTCCACATCATTCTTTCTGCATCATCTGATAACTTCCCTTATTAAGCCAAGTCTATGCACAGAATTGAACCAATATGACTAAAGTTATGATTTTATACTGATTTTGCTAAACTGGTGCAATTTTGTCCGGGGGCACTCTTACATCAGTTTAAACCTGGCTTGTATCAGTTTAACCTGCACCTGCAAATTCACAGAAACAAGCTGAGATAAACACTTATATCAGGGGTCGGCAACGTTCAGCACGCGACTCGCCAGGGTAAGCACTCTGGCGGGCCGGGCCAGTTTTATTTACCTGCTGACGTGGCAGGTTCGGCCGATCGCAGCCCCCACTAGCCGTGGTTCGCCGTCCCAGGCCAATGGGGGCGGCGAGAAACCACGGCCAGCACATCCCTCTCCCGTGCCGCTTCTCGCCGCCCCCATTGGCCCATGACGGCGAACCGCGGCCAGTGGGGGCCACGATCGGCCGAACCTGCCGCGTCAGCAGGTAAATAAAACTGGCCCGGCCCACCAGGGTGCTTACCCTGGCGAGCCGCGTGCCAAACGTTGCCGACCCCTGACTTATATATTGATACAGCTCCATCCACAATAGGGAGTTACACCAATTTAAACGTGGCAATATCTCATATTAATTTTGTTAAACTGGTACATAATTATATGTAGACAATTCCTTGAACTCTAAAAAATATAGATGGGTATCCTCCCAAACATCTCTAGTGCTACTAGTAAATAAAAAATGCAAAACGTGCCTTCTATAGTCTGCATATGGGATTCCCTTTGCACTCTTGACCAAGACATTTTTACCTGCTCATGTGGTGTACCTCTAGAGCTTTTTGGCAACACACCGTGAAGGACGAAATTATGGGTATAATCAATATTCCCAGGGTAGGTATGGATCTGCCTTATATTTTGGTGGGATTTGTTTTTGTTTTTGTTTTAGTAGCTTTGAAGGTATTGTATTTGAGATAACCGAAGTGGTGACAAGAATTGAGTATTTCACTTCCAGCCTGTTTCCAATTACCAGTTTTTATAATGACTGATAGCCACAAGGAGGGGCTAACAATTAGATTGGCTCAGTAGGTACTAACAGAAACTTTCATGAGGCATAACATCGGCAAGAAACAGAATGATTTCTGTGCTGCTTTAAGATTATGATCCTAACGGGCATCTTTATAAATATAGGTCTGTTTGGATTCCAAAACAGAGGTTGCCTCAGGACTGTTCTTTACGCTGAACACAGTATTTCTCTTTCAGAAACCTGAAGGCCTCTGCATTCATCTTCAGCTGTTTTAGACTGCAGACATTTGGGAAGGGGGCAAAATCCAGGACGTTTGAGGCTTATGAAGATTTTTTTTCTTCATCAGAATAGGTACAATTACAATCCGATTGCTTCACAGAAAATAATTTCATTAAATGTAGAGTATTTAAAAAAAATACATCCCCACATCTTTACTGCTTCCTCAGATTTTCATGGGTAGCTTTAGTCAGACATATTTGAGGCTTAATGATGGCTCAGTCGCTAACAATTATACATTGCCAATATACTTTCAAAACTGTTTTGGGTAAAGAAAAAAATCAAACAGTAAAACTTTGAATCTGGGCTTCTGACCCTCTTGGGTATTCCTCTTCTCCACCTTGCACATTGTGTAGTCATTGACATTTGTGAAAAGTAGGTGTAAAAGGTTAGGAAGCTTAAATGATAGTACTGTACGCAAACTTTGCCTGCACTTTGCACAGGTGTAAATGACTGAACAAGGTATAAGGCAGTGGAGAATCAGACCCTCAAATAATGGCAAAACCTAGATCTGTGTCTTGTGCAGCATGATGTAACAGACACAGGGTGACCAGATAGCAACTGTGAAAAAACGGGATGGGGTGCGGGGTAATAGGCGCCTATATAAGAAAAAGTCCCAAAAAAAGGGACTGTCCCTTTAAAAATGGGCCATCGGTCACCTTAAGCATACAGGATGAAAAAAGAGTCAGCAAATGACTCCTCAAGTTTATGATCAGATTCCAGTGTTAGTAGCAAATGATTACTGGTATTTTGTTAATCCTAGTGTACAGGAATGCATGTACATACATGGCCAAACTGAGGCCTGATTTCAGGAGGCACAACTCCAGTTACTTTTAGGGAGATGAGAATTGTGTCTGTTCACACCAGGATTGAATGTAACCTATAACGTATTACCATTACAATATTAAATAGATAAGTAAAAAAAGTGAAATGATTATATGGATACACGTGTACACATACACTAATGTACATATATATGTAAAATACAAAAACATTTTTAATACCGCAAATTGCAATACAGTGTCATCAGCAAAAGAGTGAAACCAAATCACTAGAACTATAGGGAAAACTCAAAGTAACTTTTCAGTTCTATACAAACTAAACAAAATTTCTTCAAAAAATATAGCAAGAATCCATAGGATGACATCTAATATGTAGAGTATGGCACAACAACTTTTTATCTGATCCCACTGTATCTTAAAATGGTCAAAATATCTAAAAGTCACCTTAGTTTAAAAAGAACTATTTGGTAAACTTACCTTTTATAAAGAAGTATAGCTATAACAATGCAGATGATAAACACCACTGCGAGAACTGGTCCTACAACCCAAATCAAGCCTTCTTCTTCATCTGTAATTGGCTGGGGATCGAGATCCATTGACACAACAGGATCAGAATATGGGCTGGTTGCATACATGGTCTGTAAGAAAATAAGATCCTATTCAACGATAAAGTAATGGGCATGAGAAATAATTGTGCTAGAACTAAATAAATGTACATGGAATATAATGGCATTATAATACCCATTGTTATTTCTTCAAATCTTACACTATATAGATTAAAATGTAAATAATTTATTATTATTACAATTTTATTTATATTGTATCAAAAGTATGATAGGTGTATGCAGAGAAATGAGGAGACAAGGTCTCTGCCCAGAAGATTTCACAATCTCAGTGAGCAATGTAATGATGAAAAATTGGGGAGATGATGTAACAAAAGAAAATGACTGACTAGCAAAGTACAGTGGATGATTTGTTTGTTCACTTCTTTGTTTTGTTTGCACTGCTGGGAAGGGAAGAGGGAACAAGAGTTTAAACGCTTCCTGGAAGAGGTGTGAAAAAACTGAAAGAGTAGAGGACAGAATTATAGTGGACAGTCAGGAAGGCAGGGTTAAATATAGGGATATGTTGGGCAATAGTAGCACACTGCTTGGTCAGAAACAATGGGACAAAGTGGAGAGTGCAGAGAGGCAACAACAGAGAGCTAGATAGGAGCTAAGTGGATTAGGGACTTGAAGACAAGGGGAGAGACTATGAAGAGAGGCTGGACATAGAGAGTAGAAAAGCTAGATGACTTTGGAAGCAATGTAGCTGAGATATGATGAAAGCTGGATAAGGGTTTAAGCAAAGAAAATGGAGAGAAATGGACAGATTATGAAGATGTTGTAGAGACAGAGGTCTACTATGGGCAAAAGATATAGAGAGGAATCACAGATAAATTCAGAGCCTGTAGCAGAGCAAGGACGTGGAGTTGTCAAGGGTAACAGAGAAGAGGGGAAGAAGGATGAATGCTGGGTAGAGGACAAGAAGCTCAGTTTTTGCCAGACTAAGCCAGAGTGGCTGAAGGCTGTGCTTTTTCCAGCCATGCTAGTTGTGTCAGTTCAGTTCCTGACAGGCCACTTTATGGAATACTCTATTCATTTGGGAGCTTTGCTTAACCAAACTATGGGTAGAGTCACACCAGGGTGTCAGCACTAATGAAGCGAGGAGGAGGAAACTTGATGGCAACTTTATACATGATGCAGGCCTTAGCAATGACACCATAAAGAAAGACGTTTTCACTTCGGATTAGATAATTACTAATTTCACAGGTCAGAAAAGTTTGAATACAGACGTGGTTACATCTGAAAATTGCTTTAAATAGTTGCAATAAAAAATGATTATGCGGTACTGACCAATGATATCATGTTCAATTGTCTTGTCATATAAGTGAATAAATGGGTTAATATGAATAAAAACATTTAGAAACTGACTATATGAAAAACCGACAATGGTTGTCTGTGGGACAAGCAAGCACAAATCATTTACCATTTGCTTTTGTTTTTTATAACAAATTTTCTTCTCAGGTATGAAGAGTTGTTTAATCACTTGCGTTCCATCATCCTGCTTAAAGGAACTTTGACCTAGGTATTTTTCTGCTTCAAGGTTAATTGAAGATGCAGAAGATTCTGCCACTGGAATATTACTTTGCCTTCAGCCTCTCTTTCCTGAGCAAGTAGAACCAAATGCTGAAGCCAAAATGTGATAACAAACTACCCCATGGGAATAGGCTGAACCAAAGAAGAGATATGAAATCCTTGATGTCTACTTTTACCTATAGGCATTGTTAATACTGTTAGATTTTTAAGACAAATCTATTTTCTGATCACTTGTAAATGCTTAGAGTTAGGTGCAGGAGAAATGCTGTGTAGAAAGTATTCTGCCTGTGCAGAAGAAATACTCTGCTAGAGTGCAAGATTCAAACTCTAGCAGCCTCTGGAACTGATGTGTTGAGAACAGAGCGCAATGGAGCATGGGACATAGATGCTCATTTATCTGACCCCTCTTCCTTCCCTATGGCCAGATCCACAACTACAAAATCCTATCACAGATTCTGGATACCATGTTTAAGTTGTAAACATCCAAACCAAACCTTTTTACGTTCATTTATCTTTAAGGCAGTCACAGTCTCAAAATCAACAATGTTAGCCATTACAGCCTTAGTTAATATGTAAAATTACAGAAGGAGCAAAACTGTGCAAAGAAAAGATTGAATCTTAGTATGGGTAATTTGTGAGTATAGCTTTTCAGATATCTAACTTTCTACCTAAAAGCTGTCCTATTTTTCAACGTTAAGATTTAATGACGTGACGCCTATGCTCAATTCACAAGGCCACTGGCTCTTCTATCACCAGCTGTAAATCATCACTTAGTCACTTTTTTTGGTTAACTTTTCAATGGTGTGTAGGATTTTATTAATTAACAGATTTTCCATTCCATTGACACAGTCTTTGCAATCACTGTAGGACAGAAAGAGGAAAAGGGAAACTTTTGTTCTATATTAGAACGTCCTTAAAGCAGTTGCTCCATTTTCAAATGAAGCCACAAGTGGTAAGTAGACTAACTAGAACTTCCTCCTCGTTTTCAACTAAATACACTCTCCAAACATTTAAGGCATTGCCAGACACTGGAGGTCTTTGACTAGACTTCAGATTACTGTTACAGTAGGTTCAGATGGCTGAGCCCAGCAAATGTATCTGTCAGGCTTAGGAATCAATTAGAAAGACACTATGCGACATATTGCATGTTCAAATGTTAATGTATGAAGCAGCATCTTTCCACCGTCCTATTTCTATCTTTGTTTAATTATTTTTTTACTGTTTTACTTGCAGCTAAAACAACTCAAGCATAAAGGGACATAAGAATAAGATGAATTACATAATGGGAAGAGACAGCTCATTATTTAAATCACCTCAGGAATTCTCCTTATTATTGCATTATTTTCTAACTTTCTTACATTTCACTGATAAAGTTGGTAGCAAATTACTATCATTGAAGAAGCTAGCTGTGCATGTCTCTGATTAGATAGATCTTTCCAAAGATTTTTGGTAACAAACACCACTGTCTCAATGGTAATCCCCAGGCAAGAAAGGAACATTTTTTACATGGTGAAAGATATTGCTATGAAGCTCATGCCCCAGTAGTTGCATCACGGATGTCATGAAGCAAGGCCTGTAATTTGCAAAGGATCAGAATAGGGCTAATAAAAGGTGATCTTTACCCTTGAGTTACAGAAGCAAATAATACATTAAAATGCATGCAGAACGATTACCTTCTAGCCGGAGAGATCACTGTAAATAAGCAAGGAAAGACTGACTTTTGAAAAGCACTGACATACCCTGTAGGTAACTGACTTTTTGTGAGTGCACAGAGGAGTGATTGTGTGAACAAATACTATAAGAAATGAGTGAAGATAAACTTGGGAATAAAAACAACTGCAGCAAAAACATGCAGCCCACTTACAGATTCAGAGTGCTCCATTACAGCCAAAACAAAGAAGACATATTCTTGACCGCTTTGGAGTTGCTTATTCTCAAAGCCACCATACTGCTTTTTATCCCCCAGGGTGAACTCAGTAGGAAGAACTTCAAAGTGAGCTGCAATGTATGGCTTTAATTCAACTTCTCTCCCAAAACGAATGCTTCTGCGTTTCCTAACTATCTCCTTAAGTAGCTGGGGGGGGGGGGGGGGAAGGGAGCGAGAGAGAGAGAACAGAAAGATAACTGTAAACAACATTAATGTAACTTATTGACAGTTTAATGGGAAAACTTAATTCAGGGCCAAGAACTATCAAAGTACCATTTATGCTCATTTCATGGTGCTTGTCAGTATCACTAAATCTCAGTTCTTGCGATTCTTAAATTTTTGGCCTTTCCTGTTAAGATAAGATACTAAATTGCAATTGCACTGCTCAGATTATAAACATGGGTCAACTAGATCAATTTTCAGTGCCTGATATCATTGTCCATGCTAATAAAACCCTGCCGAATTAATTCCTACAATGCATTACACCTTTTCTCTGAAAAATAAAGACAATTTGTTGCATAATATTTTTTATATGTATGCAGCAGCCACACTGTGACCTCCAACTTAATACAGTGAATCCCAATAAAGCAAATAAACTTCCCTCTGAGGAAGGAAATTGAAAATAATACAAAATTAAGAAAAAAAAAACCCCAGCCTGTGAAACTCAGGCTTCATTACCTAGGTTTAATTTTTCAGGGGCACTTTCTAAAATGCAAACACTATCTTTCTAGCACCATTCAGTATTACGAAGAGTTTAGAACACAAACAAACAACAACATCATCCATATTCACAAAATAGTCCATTGGATTTCTATAACAGCTTTCATCTGAGGCTCTCCAAGAACTTTACAAATAATGAATCTCAAATACACACACTCAGTAAGGGAGGTATAATTAAATTCATTTTACAGATGAGTAAAGGCAGGCAGAGAAAGTTTAAAGGCACAGTTTTTTGATGCACTTATCACCCACAATTCCAACTGACGTCAATAAAAGTTTCAGATGCTCATCATCACTAAAATCAACCTCTAAACAACTTGTTCAAGGTCACACAGCACTTCAATGGAAGAGCCAGGAACTGAATCATGGAGTCCTGACACCCAGACCACTTTCCATCATAACAGTTAAGCACCAGAACTTAACATACTCAACGGAGACATAAACTGTGTAGCCTGCCTTTCAAAATGTAAACTTCCTTTACCCCATTAAATATTTGCTCTGATGAACAAAGCCAAAATATACATCAGGGTATTTGGCAGTAAGATTAAATACTAGCTCATGTTTGTATGTTAACTAATAAATGAAATAAAGCCGACCTGGTAAAGCCACTGATTAATTACTTATTTAAATGGCCAAATGCTTATTCAATATCTTTTAACACATTGGATATACTGACATTAAGCAAATACTAATTTGACTCATTTAAAAATAGCCTGAAGTTTTCCTGCTTGACAAGTGATGACTGCTAAGAGTGTTCCCTCGTTTTTCACCCATGAAACTTATTCATTGTCCTATTTTAAAGTAAAAGCAATAGACTCAGTCTCCAGCCTTATATTCTTCCAAGGTCACACAGTTATTTTGAGTTCTTCTGCTCCCAGACAAAACAAACAAAATGGGTAAGTTTTCACTACATTGTTAAGTGTAGGAGGCAAGTCTCCAGGGGAAAGTTACAGATCAGTAGCAAAGAGATTAAAATATAATCTCTAGTATATATTTTCATTTTAAAAATATGCTTAGTTGGGGAAGCTCTAGCTGAACCCACTTTTTCAGTATTACACTGCATTTCTCTTTGCCATCCCCAAAATGGAACAAGTATTTCCTAATTATGCATCAAACAATCCAAAAGCACACAAAACAAGCAACCACTCCTTTCTCTGGGATATGACTTAAACTTAACTCGCTACTAAAACAAAGCTTGTTAACACTGATTAGCTGAACATGCCAGTTCATTAAAATTTTGAATCTCAAACGGGTTAAAATTAGAAATGGGCCCAAGATGCAAAATTTGGATACAAACTTCCTTAAAGGTTGGGGGTGTTTTGATACTGGGCTTTGCTCTGCTCCGTTACAAAGATCAGTATAGTGACCAGATATGGAGTTCAGACACAAGGCCTGATTCCCCATCGTGTTGCACAAGCTTTATGTTGGTGTAATTTTATTGATTTCAGTGGAGTTACACCAGCATAAAAACTAGTGTAATGGACCCCTCGATCTGAAAATGAACTTCCCAAGTATTTGAAGGTGTTTGGATCCTTGAAAAGGACATTGCTGTAAAATGTCACTGTTGTACTTTAATCTTAGAAACAACTGTGGTGATTTTTGCACATTCTCTTTTATTTAACGTGCATCCAGAATAATTTCCAGGTGACCCTCACTTGTGTAAAAGTGAGGGCTGCAGTGGGTAATAGACCAATCTTGGCCTATTAATGGTGCTTTTATCTAGTTGTTTTTGAGGGCCACTCCCTTTTTAAGAAAAAAAAGCCCCGCCTTCTGATAGCTTCACATGTGCCAGTACTAGGTAGAGTCAGTGGCAGCAACAGGAGAGGGGAGCAGAGGCTGCCTGAACATTAGCCCTGGTTGCTGTTGCTTCTAACAGCAGCAGCTCAGAGCAGATCTGCTGAGGGAGGTTTTCTTTCGTGATATGCCCCCAAGGCATCTGCTAGTGGGATTCTAAGAAGCATTCACCCCCAAAAATATGTACATGCAGTGATGCCAGCCTGCTGAGCTTTCTATCACTCCCCCGAGGCCAGCCTTTCCACAGCTCTGCTCCCAGAGATGCTTTCATCAGCTGCTGGGAACACTCTGCTATTTCTCTCTCCCTTCCTAGCTTTATCTCAGAGTGGAGTTTCATGGGCGAGAGGGGGCTGGGGAGGGGTAAACCAGGATAAACTCACTCCCAGCAGTGGATGAAAAAGACCACTGAGAGAAAGCTTGGTTATATACCAGGCAGGCAGGGGAAGTTGAAGGCAGCTTGGCAACTGGCTTCAATATATACACATCCACCTCTCCACAGTCGGTTCCATTTGCCTGCCTCCTAACCTCAGGTCCAGCTCCTTCGGGTATTTGGGAGGGTAGGGAGTTTTTACTGACTGATGGTCCACAGACATCAGTATATTTATACAAAGGGAAGTATATGCTTCCAGCCACCCTTTAAGATGAAGAGTGAGATTTTCAAAGGAGTCACAGGGGACCGATCTCCACTGGAATTCAATGGGATTAGCTCACCTTACTCCTTCTACCACACCACCTTTGAAAATCCCAGCCAATTTTTTTGTTCCCCATCTTTCCAGTTCATACTATAATTATAATTTGGGTTTTAGACCTTTCATAAACCATTGCAAATCGGTGAATGTTGTTCAATCAAGGCCAGCTAAACTTAACTCTGTGTGTGAATGGAAATCTGGTTTACAAAATCTATTCCACATGACTGAATAGACCCCAGGTGCACCCTTGCTTTCATTCATATTTCAGATATAGGTGATGTCGTTGCCATATGTCATTAACATCACACTTATCCCCAGTGATACTTTATAACAGGGCTAGGTTGAAAAGCTTTGAATTCATTTAAGACTTAACATCTATTTCTGGGTTGTTGTTTTTTTCATTATTCCTTGCAACAACAAAAATTCTCCTAAATAATACACCTCTACCTCGATATAACGCTGTCCTCGGAAGCCAAAAAATCTTACCGTGTTATAGGTGAAACCGTGTTATATCAAACTTGCTTTGATCTGCTGGAGTGCGCAGACCTTTCCCCCGGAGCACTGCTTTACCATGTTATATCAGAATTCATGTTATATCGGGTCGCGTTATATCGGGGTAGAGGTGTATTTAAATCCAAATCATAACATCTGCCATTCATATTGCTTTTACAAAGATGACATATTTACTCTGTGTCACCAAGTCTCATCATAACTAAATGTCTTTATGACTATATGCATTTTCCAAAATCTAATGGCCACAAACTAGCAAACAAGTCATGATTTCTGACCAAGCAAAATAATAGTTTACTCTGCTTGAATCAACTGCAAGAACCCAGGGTGAAATTCTGGTCCAGTTGAAGTCAATGGCAAAACACCCAATAACTTCAATGGAGCCTGAATTTCAACCCCAGTTTCCAGTACATTTTTTCTCCCTGGTACCTTTCAAACTCAGAATATCTGTCTAACTAGTGGCCTTGTCTTGCACCCTTGCTTTTCACCCTCCACTACCTCTGACTTCAATCAGAGCTGAGGGTGCATGACACCTTGTAGGTTCAGAACACTTAGATAAGTGTGGATACAGTCTTCTTGACCGGTAGATTATGGATTTACTGCTCCAAAACCACCTGCTACTGAGGTCTCTTTTGCTAACCTATTTCTGTAAAGCATTTGGGGGTGTCTAGCATATTGAGTAACTCCCTGTGCAATATGTCCCAAACCAAGATATCTGAGAATATAATAGACAAAACCCAGAAATTCCCCTAGCTCACCTCCATAAAGTCCTAATCATTTGTCAGTAGTTTGGTTTAGCGGTTTGGTGAGTTTTCTTCTCATAGGTGCATTTTACCCTTTATTTGTGTCACTGCTTACTCAGGTTGGTCAGGGAAAGACTACATAACAACAATATTAAGTTCTTATTTCCCCAGGTAGGGGAAAAAAACCCTTTAAGCATCAGAAATTGAACGAGAAAGCATGAAGTGCAGCCATTGCCAGCTTTTGATTTTCCTCCCCCTTCTCAAGAGTTACTGCATATATTGAAGGCAATTGTAAAAGATATATCAAGGGCTTTAGTTCTTTAACAGAAATAATTTTCATTTTCCAGTCAATGCATATCTTATTTCTTCCACCATTAATTCTACAATGTGGTCTCAATTATATCAGTAAAAAAGTAGGAAACAGCCCATCCTGACCCAAATATTTCTGAATTAATAAATGTTCTTTATCAAACTATTATACAGATTAATGCACCACAACTTACAGAATGATTAAAATGACCCTTTGTTATGGGAATCAGCAGCACAGACCCGTAGAATTTTATTGCAACAAAGTTCAATGTCATCCTGCACCCACACTTATCTGTTGTTGTTGCTGAATCTGACTGGATTTTGGAGGTTAAAATTGGGCGGTAATAGTAAATCAATGTTCCATTACTGAATGGGTCTTTCCAGGGAAATTTTATTGTTTAACTATTTTTTTATGTCATCTAGGACTGCATCAAGGTGCTGATAGCCTTTACAACCAGCTCTTTTAAAGGAAAGACATTAATGGTTCAAGCAAGTGGTCTCTGTGTTTTGAATCCGATTCTGATCAAAACAGAAAGAAGACAATGCTGTAAACTGGTTAAAAACTGATTAAAATCAGGGGGGTAGGGATAGCTCAGTGGTTTGAGCATTGTCCTGCTAAACCCAGGGTTGTGAGTTCAATCCTTGAGGGGGCCACTTAGGGATCTGGGGCAAAATCAGCACTTAGTCCTGCTAGTGTAGGCAAGCAGCTGGACTCAATGACCTTTCAAGGTCCCTTCCAGGTCTAGGAGATAGGATATCTCCATTAATTTAATTTAAAATAATGAAGAGTATTTCAGGCTTTAATTGTTTACTCAGGAGCAACCATGTTTTCCTTTGAATAACTTAGTAAGAACAACTAAGCCTTTTGCATTATTCTGATGGAGAATTACTATTTTCCTGCTGTTGCAGATAATTTTCTTTTCTGATCACTGAAGCAATTAAAAACTCCCAATTATTGGACTAGGTTATTGAAAACACTTTCCTAAATTGACCTACAATAGATGCCCAGAATGAGGAATTACCTCTTGTTTTCCTTGCCCCTTGGAGTTGTCGGAGAAAAACACAGTTCTCACTTTTTGTTTGGGTACAGCAAGTCAGATGCTTTATTTCTCTCAGGTCACAGACAACATATTTGGGTACTGGGGGTAGGGAAAAAGTGTGGTGACCACTTGCTGAATGAGCACTTCCTGTTGGCTGTTTTATGGAGAAGCAATGGCAACTCCATTACCATGATTAAAGGAAAGGGGGAAAGTATATAGAGCTTGATCCAAAGCCTGCTGAATTCAATGGAAAGACTCCAAATGACTTTAGTGGTCTTTGATTAAGTCCACATTGGAGATTCTCTGTCATGAAGATGTGGGGATATTATCTGCACCAATTACAACGCCAATGAGTGTGGCCTCAAACCCTAGACAGATATAAAAATAATAATCATAATGATACCTCACTCTCGTACGGTGCTTTTTATCTAGAGATCCCAAAGCACTTCACAAAGGTGGTCAGGATCACTAACCCCAGTTTACAGACAGGGAAAATGAGGACAGATTAGATTAAGTTCAATGCAGACATAGAAGGAATCTACACTAGGCTGGCTAGAAGTAATACTTGCTCAAAAGAGATAAAGTATTTCGTTGTTGTTTTTCTGAAATGAAGCCATTATACTCTGTTTTTTGGACTATGGTGCTTATATTGCTAATTGGTGACACACGGTTGTTTTCTCCTATGTGGTTTTTAATTTTGGAATACTGAGTACCACAAGAATAGAGAATACTGCAAACATTTCCTAATCATCAGTATTACAGTATGTGAGAAACAGGTAAAGAGACCACAAGGTAAGTCAAATGTTAAACAGCAGTGCAAATTGCAATTTAGCATTTGTTACATCCTTAGCAAACAGCCCACTAATGAACCAGACCTTTACTGCAGTTCATATCAGTGGTGATTAAGCTTTTGCTGACAACTCATTTCACCTTATGCACTTTTGCTTTGTGCTTTACAATAGGCAAAGAATAAAATATTAATGCCAACAAAGATCAGACAGTTTGTGTGCTTTATTGAAACTTAATGTCTTTAATGTCTTCTAATTTAAGTAATTAGATCTTTTTTTCTGCCCCCAGAGGGTAACACAATCCAAAGATAAAATATCCAGACAACTAAAGTCGCTGAAATCAGTGCATTAGTGGGATGCAATCATTAAAATATTTTAATTACTGAAACAGAAACAGTCAAAATAGAAATACTGTACCTCATCTAATTCCATTTCATCCGGACTTTCCCATGGTTTGATAAACTTTCCATGAGACTTCTTCAAAGGCACAATTACTATATAATAACCTCTGTAAAGGAAGTAATAGATAACAATGAGGTCTAAATCAAGTGAGTGGATAAGTCAAAAGGGTTGGATGTGAGCTTAAAGCCAACTTCTCTGGAGAGAGAGAACTGTGCTGAAATAAAGGCAGATTTTGTCCATGAAATGTTGCTACAATCTCCCAAATATAACTGCAAAAAGGTTCTTGTACACTACAGAGGCTCTTGCAAACAAACAGATGATAAATTCTAGTGTACAGCATTTGACAAACAAATGGCACTAATTACCTGCTTTTTCATCTAAACACATACATATTTATATGAAACTATAATTATAATATTTCATAATGCCTACATGGTTGACTGCAGTTCATTATCTCATTTTAAATGTAACAGGCATGGGATACTTGTGCCATGCCAGCATTCTAAGCGTATGGAAACCAATACGCTGAAACTTATTACTGGATTTTTCAAGAGCCCATTTACCATCACACTTTCTCCCAATTTTCATGTATAATGGGAATGAGATGGTAACATAATGCATTTGTTGATCCTGCTACTATTATCATACTATAGTATTCTATAGATATAATACAAAAATGTCAATAATATATAATAAGAAGTAAAAGGGTATCTATGGGGGACTTATACATATAACTGAGAATTAAGAATACATTATATACCTATAATGGGTAAGTGTGTGTGTGTGTATATATATATATATATATATATATATATACACACACACACACACACACACACACACACACAC